CCTCGACATGTTCAAAGCCAGTGGCGGATATAGGGCAGGGTGAGCGGGGTGACTGCCCCAGGCTCTGCGCTTCAATAGGCCCCATGCTAAGCCGCTGCATGGGAGCAAGCGGTGGCGCAAGCGGCTGTTTGTGCCCTGTGCTCCCCGAGGCCCAAATGGACACTTGCTCCCACACGGCAGCCCAGCTGAGTGGCGCAGAACTCAGCTGAGCGTCACGGTGGGAGGCAAAAGGCATGACAGAGACCGCCCCCTGGCCGTGTATGTCACCGCCCCACCCTCCTTCGCCTCCTGCCTTGGCGCTCAGCTGAGTTCTGCACCGCTCAGCTGGGCCGCCATGCGGGAGCAAGCAGCGCAAACAGCCATTTGGGCTCCACGAGTGAGAGGCAGTTGGAGGGGAAGAGAAAAAGTGAGAGAGAGGCAGGAAGGGGAGGAGAAGAGAAAGAGAGAGTGAGAGGCAGGAGGAGAAGAGAAAGAGATGGAGAGAGGGGCAGGAGGCGGAGGAGAGCTGGGGGGGGGTTGTTAGAGACAGCAGGAGGAGGATAAAGAGAAAGAGAGAGATGTGGAGGAGAGACCTGGAAATCCCATCTTATGACGGGCTATTGGCTAGGTTTTTTAATAACGAACATTTAATATTGATATGTGAAACACGTAATGAAGTAATATGAATACGCAGCGGGCGACAGATTGAAACTGATTTGCACACGTGCTATTACCTGTGTCGGCTGTGGCCGTGGCGCATGCACCACGTCACCCACTCCGTTTTTTACAGATAAATAACAATTTTATAACTGTAAATTTGCCGACAACCCCAAATTATAAAATGACTAGCAGAGCAAGAGACGCAGGTAGAAAATATATGTCAGGAAGCCAGAAATTAAAGGAAAAAAGAAAACTTGAAGAATGTAATCTCAGTTTAAAAGGTACTATGGAAAAATTGAAACTAATAAAGAATTACTTAAGATCTACTATGAGCCAGGAGCGTTTTGTAGGACTTTCAATTATATCGATTGAAATCGACCTGTGTAAAGAAATGGACTTTAATGACATAATTGAAGAATGTGCTGCCAAAAGAGCTAGACAGCTATAATAGACTTAAATACAAATGAAAATTTGTAATTATTAATGTAGAATTTTGTTTAAGAATGACGTACAATATAATTAAAATAAAAATTATCCAATTAAATTAAGTTTCTATCAAATTTACCCAATTCACATTTAATATGAAAATAGCCATTAATTTGCGCATTTGATGCCTTTTTTCTCCAAAGGGGGGCTCCACAAAAATGTGCTGCCCGGGGCCCTGCAGAACTCTCATCAGCTCCTGTTCAAAGTAGTCCCTATCTGTGGTATTTAAATGACCAGCGTCTGGAGCACCAAGTGCAAAGTGTTCAGGTTTGGATGGTGAACCTGACCACACTACAGTAAGATCAGATCCAGGCAGTCTTGGATCTGTATTAGTAATTGAATGTACATCTAGGGCAGGTCTGTCAGCCAAACTATCTTAGCTAGTAGAGAACTACAAGAGAGATTGTGCTTTTTCCTTCTATTTTTGGAAGGCACCATAGGGATCAGGAAAATAGGTGGAAAACATAAAGGAGACCTAGGTTCCACTGCAGAAAGAAGGTAACAAACCTGACTTGAGGCTTCTCCTGGAGCTGAAATTCTGATATTTATACTTCTCCTATGTGACACAAAGATTTATTATGAGAATCCTCAATGATGAGATATATGCTTGTGATGGACCGCCTCAGGGACCACTCATGATTGCTACTGGACTATCTGTTTTGGAAGTCTGTCAGGTAGCTGCTCATTCCCAGAAAATATAGAAGACTGGTGAGCAACCTTTAACCCATGGCCACATGCGGCCCATCAGGGTAATCTGACTGCAGGCCGGGAGACATTTTGCTGACACTGGCTGACTTCAGGCATGTCCCCATGCAGCTTCCAGTGGCCTCAGTTTGCTGTTTTTAGCAAATGGGACCTGTGGAAGTGGAGCTCGTAGATGGAGCAGTTCCAGGGGTGTGCTGACCACTGCATCCCACAGCTCCCTTTGGCCAGGAACAGAGAACCACAGCCACTGGAAGTTGTGAATGGTCAATGTCATCAAAATATTTCATGGCTCCCAATCAAGATTACTCTGATAGGCTGCATGTGGTTTGTGGGCCAAAGATTGCCTACCACATGTGTAAAGACATTAGGTATGCTTACACTGCAATGAAAAACCTGTGGCTGGCCTGTGCCAGCTGACTTGGGCTTGCTGGGCTCAGGCTGTGGAGCTGTTTCACTGTAGTACAGAGTTTGAGACTGGGGGCTGGAGCCCAGGCTCTAGGACCCTGCAAAGTTGGGGGTCCCAGAACTCAAGCTGCTGCACAAACCCAGAAGTCTACACTCCAATGAAACAACCCAAGCCATGCAATCTCATGTTGTGGCTGGCATGGACCAGCCACAGGTGTATATTTGCAGTGCAGACATAGCCATTTGGGTATGACTATTTATGACAAAAAAAAGTTCCTTGTCTGATTTCCATTAGAATTCATTAGGTGAAAGAAAGAGGAGAGACTTCTGAAGACGAGATATTCACATGGACACAGTATTATGATCTCTCTCACGCCATTATTTTATTTAGTAATACAGACTGGGGCTTTTGCTTTAAGACTTGGACAGCCAATGTGACTGTTCAAAATCTACCTATGTTATCCACAGGGACCACAGAATTTCACATTAGTGAACGAAGTGTGCAGTAAAAGCCATGACCATTTGTTTTATGAATCATTCAAATGGTTTAAGCAACGAGGAGTCCTGTGGCATCTTATAGACTAACAGATTTATTGGATCATAAGCTTTTGTGGGCAAAGGCCCACTTTGTCAGATGCATGTAGTGGAAATTCCAGAGGAGAATACCTGCCTCTGGAATTTGCATTACATGCATCTGACGAAGTGGGTCTTTGCCCACGAAAGCTTATGCGCCAATAAAACTGTTAGTCTATAAGGTGCCACAGGACTCCTTGTTGCCTTTGCAGATTCAGACTAACATGGCTACCCCTCTGATACTCAAATAGTTTAGAGCTTATTTATTAGAAAGAGAATGTAGCTGTTTTATTACATAACCATTTATCTGGCTTTTTAGGTCAGTGGTTAAACATTTTCTTCTATCCATTTGTAGTTCCCGTCTATTCTTGACTTAGAAAATCGTGGATTAGAGAATAAGCATGTGTGATAGAGATAGAATGTCTGTGGAGAACAAACCATGATCCAGCACTCTAAAAGTCTATTTTCTGTCTCACTGCTGCTGCCTGCCAATAACTGAAGAGAGGATAAATATACTGTTCCAGACTAAAGGATATCCCTTTATGATAAGCAATATTTTAGGTGAGGTGATTTTTTATATATATATATATATTACTACATACATTCTCACTTTATAATTAATAGTTGAAGAGATGCCACATGTAGTCGAGGCTGAAAATATAACACATCCGTGGTTAACTATACAGGTAATTATAGTCATGCAAGTAAATGTGTGAGCCTAGATTCTAGGGTTCAAAGCATGGAGAAAGTTATGTGGACTTCGTTAGGAGTTTTAATTCAAGAGCACCAAGATTTGTTACAGTCTAGAATACAGTAACAGCTTCAATTGGTGTGAACTTATGTTGCACTTACTTGTGGCTCTGACCCACACTGACCAAGAAAATGGATACTGTTAACAGTGCTGTGTGAGTTCAAATAAAATATACACAATAAAGTTCATAAGTTCATTGCTTCTGGGGCTGACAACATAAGACAATGCCTTGACCACCTCAAGTGAACCCTCTAGGAAAAAAATATTGTGAAATGCTAGATTAACTGACCTATACCACATGCAGTACATTATAATGGCAAATATTGGGGTGGGTTCTCCAGTATGTCCACCCTTATTGTGCCACTCAGGATTGTGACTATAAATGGCCACTGGAGAATCCCACACCTCTGGCATTCACAAGCAAATAGTCAATTGAGGCTGTATGCTCGAGTTGTGCCAACTGCCACAATTTTAGCATACGGCATGTGCTGGTAAATGGCTGAGGTATTGCAAACTAAAGCTCTATTATTCCAATTATTTACTGGCAGATGGTCTCTTGGAGTACAATAAAAAAAACCCTGGTAGCACAGAGTCTCAGAGCCCAGGTTAGCTGACTTGGGTTTGCAGAGCTCAGGCTGCAGGATTAAAAACAGCAATGCAGATGTTCAGGCTCAGGCTAAAATCTGGACTCCGAATCCCACACCTCATCAAGGGGGTCTTGGAGGCCACGCTGAAGCCTGAGCCTAAACAGTTATATCACAGTTATACAGCCCTGGAACTTGAGTCCAAGTCTGCTGACCCAGGCCAGCCACGACTATGGCATAAGTCTTTTATTGCGGTGTAGACATAGGGACTTTGTGCCAAAGGCATAAGTTGGAGCTAATGTTGAACCATAGAAACTCAATTGGTTCCCTGATAACTCCATTCCATCCCCTCCCATAAAACAAAATTTAGTCACGTGGGAAAAGTGGAACAATTATTTTGCTGTAACCAGTATTCTGTAGTTATGGTTCATTTTGATTGCCCTGAAAATGGTGGTAAATTGGAGTTTGTCCCCTCTTTTCAGAAAACAACAAACATCCTACACTTCAAAACATTCAAACTTTTAGCAAAATTAAATTTTCAGTCAGTTTTTCAATTTTATACTCACAAGTATGTGCTCCTACAAAAACTGATGTACACGTGTTTGAGTGCACAAAATAATTGCTTTTATGTTTTTGCAGAAACACTTTTTCACAAATGTAATTTTGCAGGTACAGAATTAGAGGATATGGGCCACTCTTGATGGAAAATAGTCCCCACATTCATTGCATAGTTTGCTCAACATGGCCGACACCACCTCCTAGGAATTATCAAACGTTTAGTAATAATCAAGATTCAGATTTTAACAATTATTTCTGTACAACATTGTAATAAATGATTAAAGTATTAAAATGTTTACCTTGATATTTTGGGCATCAACATTAGCTCCAGCTTCTAGTAGAAGACTAATGACTGTAGTGTTTCCCGCTAGCACAGCCCAATGTAATGCTGTATTTTTGTGGTATTTGTCCCCAAGATTAACGGAAACATTAAAAGTAAGCAGCAATCGAGTTGGATCCACACTAGAAAAATAAAAGCTAGGTTAGATCCATAAAGAATTTTAAAAATCACAAGGCACTTTGTCCATGAGTTTGGCCTACTTAAGCACCTTAATGTATCAACTCAGACATTACAAATTATAATAGTCCTTTTTTCTAGTGGTAAGCATTAATGGTCATATTTGCTGTCTCTGAAAAAAAAAATCTTTTGAATTGAATGGAATCTGCACAGGGCTATCTAACAATGTCTTGTATATGATAGTAGATCACATATTTTCAAATAAATTCTTATTTTCCCATGTATCACAGAAAAAATGACAGTATCATTACAAACATGTAATATCATGCAAATGCTTATGTATTTGATGCACAACAGTAAGGGTACCAAACATTTCTCACCCTTCATCATACAACTCTTTTAGAAGGAGAAGCAGAGGAGGGAGAAGAAAACATAGTAATACTGTTAGGCAAATAATGTCCTGTCTTCTTCATTAATTATAATAAATCAGACAGATTATTGCATGTTTGATGGCACTATGGGAATAATTTAGCTAGCTAAAGATAGTGACTTGTGTGTCCTTCTATGTTATATTGTTTGAGCAAGGCTAAGTGCTTTGAACAAGTCTGTATTAGGAGTTAATTACCTATGTGTTCTGTAAGCTGCCCACATTAAAGGTGTCATTCCATTTTGATCCATCATATCTACATCCTGACAAAAAGAAAAGCATTACTCAGATAAGTAAAAAATACTTAAGTTTCACTATATAATAAGAATACAGCATCTGCCATGCTGGATCAGATACTAGTCATTTAAATTTGATATCCAATCCACATAACCCCATAGACAGGACACCAGTGATATGAACTGCAGTGTGCACCAAAGTGTTGTGCAATAATTGCCCCACATAAACTCTGCTAGTGCAAACAAAACAATACCTAAGTTTCCATTAGGAATTTTAAAAAGCGTTTCAATAGCCATGTAAGCATTGAAAATTTCAGCAGTTACACAAGTAGCAGCAGCAGCACCAGCCTTAGGCCGATGAGCCTGAATTGGGCCCTGTGCCTAATGGGGACCCACATCCTGAAGCCAGAAGTATGCTGGGCATGCTGCGGGAGGGGGCGTTGGCCCCGGAGAAGGAGTGCAGCGGCTGGCTGTGCCGCAGGAGGTGTGAGTTGAGCACAGGGTTTGCCTATGCTGCGGTGTGTGTGTGTGCGCGTGTGTTCGCTACCTCCAGAGTTTGGCACAGGAGGTAGCTGTTGCTCAACCGAAATTGCTGCGAAATTGTTCGAATTGGGTCCCGCACTTCCTAAAGCCAGCCCTGAGCGGCAGTATCCTGTGCATACTGTGAGCCTGCGTATTAAGGATGTTAAGTAATGGTTAATTTGCTAGTTGAGTAGTCGATGGAATTTCCATTGACTACTCAACTAGTTGATAGGCACTTCCGCATTCCTCCTTTGAAATGTACAAGAGCTGTGCAGGGTAGTGGTGCCAACAGAGTCGATATATATAAAACAGTAAAGCACAAAGAGGAGCTTTCTGCCCCCCAGCAGACCAGGGAGACGCGGAGCAAAGCCACAGAGGACGCGGGGGGCGGGGGCCGGGGGGGGCCTCGGGGGGCCCG